TCGATTTTTTTTCATCTTTGGGAACATATAAATTATTCAGAAAATGCTTCTCGAAAGTCAATGAGTACGAAAAAGTAGCATATGCTTTCTAGAGCTCGTAGGGTGACGCACCGACCTTGAAAGTAAACGTATTCCATACCGTAAGGCCTCTTCACGCCTACGGCGAATATATGATAAAATTTGAGTTTTGGAATTAGTTGAAACTGTACAGTGAGTTAGTGGGGGTAAGCATCAGTGATCACTCTTTATAGCCACTACTGTGAAGTTACTTACTTAGATATTTAGATGGCCCGTCCTCACGTGACGTGCGGGCCCCAGTACAGAAGTTGCTATTTTTCCCTGTCCCTCTCTTCAGACATCCACGATCTTCTTGGCCGTCGTCGGTGGCTGCGTCCACGAGTTCCAGGGGCGAAAGTCGTATCCAGCTGATTTCTCAGCTGGTCCATCCGTTCCACGAACACGTCTGCCCATCTTGTTGGTGGTCTTCCTCGAGGACGTTTGGCTTCGTGAGGAATCCACTCAGATGTTCTTAGTGTCCATCTGTCGTCTGTTCTTCTCATTATGTGACCGGCCCATCGGTGTTTGGCTTTCGCAACGTATTCCGCTGGGTCACAAAGACGGGACATTCTTCTCATAGCCGTGCTGCGAAGTTCGACTAGATGTTGCTTGCGTCGGGTCATCTTCAAAAGACTGCGCTCGAGCGCTCTGTGGGTCCGTAAAGCTTTCGACGTGGCTATAGTATCGGCCCAAGTCTCACTGCGTAACAGAGCGCCGGGAGAACGGTTGAGTCGAACAGGTGGGCACGAAGCTCCGGGTCCGTCAGTTGGTCGGTGGTTTCCTTCAGAGGCCCGAAGGCGGCCCAGGCTGCTCTTCTTCTCCTGTTGAATTCTTCCCTCAAGTCGTTCTCCATGTTCATCGAACGTTCGAGATACACGTAAGAAGACGTCTCCATAATAGGGGTGCCTTCCAATTTCATTTCTGCATCTTCGCAAAGGGCGTTCCTCATGAAGTGAGTCTTCTTCCGATTTATTCGCAGTCCGATCTTCTTCCCTACTTCGTTCAGTTCCTTCAGCATCGTCTCTGCTTCGGTGATACTGCTCGAGAAGAGAACGATGTCGCAAAACGAAGGTTGGACAGGGATCTCCCATCAACTCGTATGCCTCTCTCGTCCCAATCCAGTGACTTCATCACCCACTGCAAGGCCGCGGTGAACAGCTTCGGCGAGATTGTGTCGCCTTGTCGGACCCCCTTCCCGATTGGTATGGTCAGGGGGCGATGGAACAGCTGCATCGTTGTTGTACAGTCCTTGTAGCAGTTGGCTAGTGTCCTCACGTAGGCTGGGTCCACTCCTTGATCAACTAGCGCTGACAGGATGGCGTTGGTTTCGACGCTGTCGAAGGCTTTCTCGTAGTCGACGAAGGTTAGGACGAGAGGCAGTCGGTACTCCCGGCAGACTTCTATGACCCTCGAAACGGTGTGGATGTGGTCCATGCAGCTGAATCCTTTGCGAAATCCGGCTTGTTCTTGGGTTAGGCTTAATCCAGTGTCCTTGATATGCGAGCGAGGATAATCTTCGTGAAAAGCTGTACAGAACACTCAGCAGGCATATTGGACGATAGTTCCGAAGATCCTCCCATTCACCCTTCTTGAAGAGAAGGACGGTTCTTGACGTTCTCCACTGGTCGGGAATCTTCTCCTTCTGAAGGTAAGATGTCAAATGCGACGCTAGAATCTCGTGTAGACGGTGCCCTCCGGCTCGCAGAAGTTCGACGGAAAGATGATCTGGTCCTGGAGCCGTGGACGCCTTCATGGTCTGTATCGCGATACGCACTTCAGCAGGTAGAATTCGTGGTAGTTTCTCCAGTGGGAACAACGGGCATCGGCACGGGCGTTGATGAGCGGAAGAAGTTGGTGTAAAGGTTCTTCGCGATAGATTCCATCTTATATCGGGAAGAGGTCGAAGTCGTCTTCATTCGCAAAGGTCCCTTCGGCACTTCTTGAGACTTCGTCTTCTTTCGGCTGCTTCCAGTATCTTGGCTTGCCTGTACTTCCTGAGATCCTCTTGCAAAGCTGTTCTGCAACTGGCGTTGGCTATCAGTCGCTCGAGATGGGCATTCGGATCCTGCCTCAAAAATCTTCTTCTTTCGAGCAATTCCTTGGTGGTCTTCGAAATGCGTTCCAAGTTCTTCTCAGAAGTCACTGAGGCGCATTCTCCGCAGGCTCGCAATCCTTTCAAAAGGCGGTCGTAGTCGTACGTTGGGTCCTCCTCGATGGGCCAGTCACAACTTGATATGAGCTCTTCCAGCCTGTTACCGTCATAAACGACTTCCTTCCTTCTCGCGGCACTATGACAGACTTTCTTTTCCAGCCTTCGGCTGAGTCGTATCTTCGCTCGAAGGAGGCGGTGATCGGAGCCACTACAGAAGGATGGAACTACAGAAACATCAAGTAAGCCTACCTTCGGTTGGTGAGAATGTGGTCGATCTCAGCATGAGTCGTTCCGTTGGGCGATTTCCAAGTCCACCGGCGATGTTCTTTCTTCATGAAGATGGAGTTTCCATGGAAGAGTCGTGCGGCGGAGAGAAGCCCAACGAGACGGTTGCCGTTTTCGTTTCGGAGCCCATATCCAAACTTTCCGATCCTATATTCCTTTTCTAGTGGCATCCCGATTTTCGCATTGAGGTCGCCCACAACATACTTGTACAAGGACTTTTCGTTGCGGATGACCTCCTCCACGTCTTCGTAGAAAGCATCTACTTCTGAGTCGTCAGCTGCTGATGTTGGCGAGTAGCAGTTGACGATGCTGATGGTCTTCTGACGTGGAGGGCGTAGTCGTAGGATGCCTAGTCGAGGTGATAGGATCTCGTGCGAATCGACAAGATGGACGATAGATGGGTGGACGACAAAGCCGACGCCTCCCACGTTTCGTGGGAACCTTTTCACCACGAATGATGAGGGTCTGTCTGGAATGTCCCATCACTCATCTGTCGCACGTCCTTCTTCCTGGACTTCGTTTCCTGCAGAGCGATGATGTGATAGTTGATGCGCTCTGCAGCGTCGAGAAGAGCGTGGAGGTCGGCGTTTGTGGAGACTGTCCTGGCGTTGTAGAAGCAGAGCATGAGGCAGTCTCCATGGCGTGTCGTCTGGGCAGACGTGTCGTTTTTGTCCAATCCGAAAGGCGCCCTGAGTACCCTGACATCGTTCTTGCTACCACCCGGCGCCGTAGGCGGGATACGATGTGCAGGGTTTCTTTCTAATCTTCTAACTGGAGGAGTAATATGAATTTTCCCCTACAAGAGGTGGCTTACTAGGACTACTCTTGATTTCCACGGGGCAATCGCTGACCCCGGGCTTGGAGCGGGGAGGGACCGCCTAGCGACCAGAAGAAGCCAGACGGCGGGGGATCTGGCGTGGCCGGTTCTTAGCTAGGCATCCGGCCGAAACCAGAAACGTCGAACTCCTTTACAGCTTGGGAGGCCCTAACAGAGTATACACTCGGCTGTGCATCGCAGTTCGACACCCAGTGTCACCCCCACGCCACGATGAGACGACCGACCATTGTGGGGGCTACTGTGAAGTTACTGTTTGGAAATTTGACATTTACCGGTCTCTCCTCATCAAACTGATTAAATAATTTTCCTAATTTTATTTGACACGAAGTCTGCTTTTGACTGCGATCCCGCTCCATCGCCCTTTTCCAACACGACTTTCGTTTAGGGGCGATTATAACCACATTTAGTTCTGATTATGTACAACAACAATTGCAAATAAAGGTGAGAGTTTTTTGTTTGCCTATTTGTGGGTACCAGTCTGACAAGGATGATTTTGGACATTGATACTCGGCAGATTCTTTGCCTCGTTGTAAATACTGAAAATGGAATATTTTTTTCCCGGGGAGACGAGATTTACGGGTAATTTTAACACGTTTCGGGCCGCGAAATCGCGCACGGCGAAAAAGAGTGCACTTTCAGCCATTGGCCAACAAAGGAACCTTATTTCGTAGACTGTATGTTACATCTGTAATCAGCATGTCAGATAAGCTCAAGGTCTGAGTGAATTCGAAGTGTTTGAATTTTGTCGCTTGAGAAGGATTTGTGCTTTCCTGAAAGATAGGAACAAGGACTCAGTTTCTAATAGTATCCAAAAGTATCTATGTAGACGGCACACATCACTATTGAAATTACAATTTTTCTCTTTGATATCGAAGCAAAGGAAAGTTGCGACGTCGCACGCGTCGTTCGCGTTGCCGCACTTCGTTGTGACTGTTGTTCGATTTGTGCTCATATCTCCTAAACAAATATCGGCGGCACAACTCTACAGAGTCACTTGGAAAGTAGAAGCTTAGGCCTTTGACTTGATAACCTTGGGCTAAAAGAAAACTTCCTGTAAACGTCAAAAAGATCATGCAAAGGAGGGTGCTGCACCATGTGCAGCACCGGTCCGAAACGTGTTAAGTAAGTGTGCAGTAACAATGTACGAGATAAAAAAGCCAAAATTTGAAAACATGGGTTCAGCTTGACTGAGATTACTACCTCCGTAAATGCTACACTCTTCCTTAGGCTTTAGTGTACTGTAGGCAGCATAGACCATGTATACACACCCTGTACGAATTCTCAGCTATGGAATAAGAGAAACGAAGTTCTGAGAGTGGCAAAATTAGCCCTAAAACTCCTTTCGCACAAACAAATGCCACATATGAAGTACACACACATTTCCAAATTAGTAAACGCATTGAATTCTGAGAAATAGCAAATTCAGTCGGGAAATCCGACACTAGATTTCTCCACCTAGTATGCCTGTTATATGTGTGTTGGTGATTGTGGATCTGAACTGCGTTCCCAAATTTGCAATTTCTGATGTTGTGGGGTTGGTTAGAAAAAAAAATCTTTGACAATCTAAAGTACTTTCTTACGAAGTATACTACATATTCCTCAAAAAAATCCTTTTCCTGTAAACATTCCTTTTCACAGACTTCCCCACATCCTAGCTGAGAAAAAATGCAAAAAGTGCTGTTTATTGCTTTTGAGGCATGCTCTGTCGACAGATTACTCCTGAGTAAATTTTAGCGTTGATCACTGAGAGCAAATTATGGCCGCATTTCACGGTAACAAAATTGAATGATACGTGAGAAGCACACGAAGATAATACAAATAACCAGTAAGGAAATTAGTGCTAGGAGTCATCAGAGCCTTCATCAAAAAACGATAATTATGGCTTATCGTTCACCAAAAAAAAACATTATGCGCAGGTAGACAAAATTAAGAAAATCAAAGACATGAACAATGACAACGTTCACATGAAAACTGAAGAAAATGGGATGAAACTAGATGTCTAAAAAATAGATAGCACCGAGAGAAAAAACTTGAAAAACGATGTGTAACGTCACTCGAGGTGTGGCGATCTTCCGCAAGGTCTGCGAAGGCAATTCAAAAGTACTGGGAGCAAGTAAGAAGAGTGAAATACTGTCCATAGTCAACAACAAGCAAAAAGATCTTGTCTCTGTGCCAGCACAACTACATGTGGTCCAATAGTGAGGAAGAATTTTAGAGATGGCGTAGACCAGCGCCTTTGCAGCGCCTTTCGAAGGTAAAGCGAAGCGCGTGTGTGTATATATGTATGTGTGTGAATACAGAATGCAGAAACACCGGGGCCGCGCAGGCTGGGAACGCATGAGAACAGAGAACAACGTAGCGTTTGACAGCCGTTATCGGTTTGGTGAGGCGATGGATTCATAAAAGGAGGTCGAACAATCACAATTCCAAACGGAACATATACCCGAACAGTTGTACGCAAATATGGAGCAGAAACCGAAGAGATGTAAAATGAGAAGGCAAAGTCCCACGTTGAGGGGCAGACTCATGCGGGAAGGATCGCACAGGCTGGGATGACGTCATTCAAGAACGTGTGGCCCAACTACCTAGGCGAATCGTAAGATAGTGAAGAACAGAGCTCGAAATCTCCGTGGTTTTATTTGGCGCAGATCACCCCGCAGTAGGAGACGTTTTGGCGTGCTGTACAGAAAAGCTTTGACGACGGGGACGACCGTGATGGCACGGAGAGCAAAAATTCGCTGAAGAAGCTAAGTGCAGAAGCTACAGTGAAGGTCCATCAGTCTTCTCCAAATGCTTCCGGAAGACGCTCAGGAATTGAAAGATCGGCTATATCTTTGAAGATCGAGTCGGTACGGCTTTCCTGAGATAAATTCACGTACAGATTATTTTACATGTGTAATTAGAGAAACGAACACATACGTTTCTTGGCAAACTGATAGTGCGTGGTGACACCATACGACGCTGACTTCCAGCTGGATATCGTTTCCTCCTGAGAGAGCTTCATTTATTGGTAATTGGTTATCAGTAAAGTCAATTGACTTACCCTTTTGCTAACACGTCCGCCTTCTCATCCTTCTCTTGTACTAGGTCATCTGCCGCTGATGGTTGCTCATGAAGAGAAATGCTCCGGGTGTGGGGTCCTGAGATTCCCCACCCATAGCACGCTTTCTGCTCTGTTCGTAGAAACGTGACAGCGTCCTAAATATTTATTCGATGATGATAGTGAAAAGAATAAAGATCCATGATTGACTTCAAGATTCGTATAGAGGCAGGTTGCGGACTTTCCCTGATTATAAGGATAAACTTTTGGACCTCTACGTTATAGCACTGTTTCTCGTACTGTCGCGCTATCAAAAACCGCCACGCTTTGAGCTGCCACGAGTCCGACTCTATCCGAATCGTGGAGCCGTAATACTTACATCCAAAGTTTCCGGCAGTGGTTTTTCACTCGTTTCGGGCAGGACACTGACCAACATTCCAGCGAAAAGAGAGAATATGGCAAAGATGATCATTGGCATAATGGGCAGGGAATTGATTGATAACAAAGCGATGTACGAAGAGACTCCTGATCCGAATCGTGCCACCTAAAATGCTTGCTAGTCAGTAAAAAAACGATGAATTTGTGACGACTTTACCAATAATGATATAATTATTAGAAAAGTTTTTCTTTTTTCCTTGAATTCAATGGACAAGGAAATGCGAACTACTAAGGTGAGTTGGTTTGAAAACATCGAAATCAATTTGGGTAAACTTGGACAAACTCAAGATTAACACATTGTGAATTTTTACAGTAAATCGAACAGTAGCCAAAGAAAACTAGGATATATCTTGTTATATTGCTTGGTAACTTACCATAGATGTCACTCCTACTGCAGTATTGCGTACAATCGTTGGATATAATTCAGAGGTGAAGATATACAGTATATTGAAGGCACCCTAAATATGTCTCGTTACACTAGTTGACCACTATCAGTCAACTCACCTGGATGCAGATCTTGCCGATCATCATGAACGTAAGTGCAAACATGAACTTTTCGCTTATAACAGCAATCATTGCTATTATTATGGAAACTGCACCGCTGACCAGTGTCATCATCTGCGCTCTGAAAATTGCTTCACTTCAAGGATTAATTTTGACAAAGTTCTGATTGCTTTCGGAGGTTTTAGTTTTCTTTCTAAACCAGCATTCTGAAATAGTTGTACGAAGAAACTGCATTAATTCTGTTACAACGTAATATATAAGTTTTTTCTTCGCTGTAAACAATCCTTCTGTTTATCTCGGACGCATTTTTGAATAATGCGCTTGCACGAGCGTATCGAAACGTGTTGCTGGTTTTGCAAAGGATGGCATCGGTGGTTTTAGATTGCATTGTTAGCATTGTTTGAACTTCACCACCCCGATATTGTACAAAGGGATTGACAATTTTTCGATATATACCATACTAAGCTAATATATGCTTTTTCCGGGGCTTCTGGACCCAGCAAAGACGCTATCCTTACTTTTTACTCCGAAATGATATACAGCCTGCTCCGAAGCCACCTGTGCCGAGCCCTGGCTCTAAGTTTATCCGGGTTGCTTTTGTATATGAAAACTGTATCTTTGTCGAATCGTGAAAGCTGAATCAAAAATCCGTATGTTCTTTCTCGATGTTTTTTTTTCTATTTCCAATAACTGAGGATACAAGATAGGGCTCTAATTTCAACCAGGAAAAATTATGGGAAATCCTAACGAAATAACTCACTTTTTACGTCCGAACTTCATTAGCCAAACACAACAGAACAACGTCGGAATTTCGATGGCACCAGCGACGGCATTATTCAAAAAGAAGTTACCCGTAAATAACACACGACCAGGTGCTGACTGGTCCGACAAGGCTGCAAACGCATTTTTAGTGCAGAAACACCACAGCAAGCATTACATAATCTTCGAAATAAGCACTCACCAATAACAAGTCCGTAATATACCAGTGCAGTGGCCATAAACACGATGCACACTGTGATGGTACGGAAGCGCAGTTCTGGTGTTTTGAAGAGATCTAGCATGCCTACTTTTCCCTGGAAAAATTCTCATCAATATGTTAGTTCCAGCAGAATCTTTACTAAAACTGCGCCTGAAGCTTTTCGTGCCAGCGCCGTTCCAGCGCCATTCTAGCGCCCTATTGAACATCGCATATCAGTATGAAACGCGCCCATTCTTAGGCATGGCGCTAGCGTGGCTCTGGCACTGCCTTGGCACGATGCTGGCACGGCGCCTAGCATTCACTCTTTCTCACAACATTAGCAGCATTATTACCTTCTTGTTCAGTCTTTTTTCTCTGTGGCATACCAGCTCGAGGTCAGATGGCAGTGACCCTTTGTTAATCCTGCACAGATTGAAGGGGAAGGGTGGAGTTCTAAATGATGAGATTTTTGAATACATTTTAGGTGCAATTATCAAAACAAAGTCCAAATGAGCGTTATGAAACTTCAAAAAATCAACTCAATAAGGGAGTGTTCCAAAATTTTCCACCCATTAAAACTCGTCGAAACCTAGTTGAAGTTGTGAAGGCGATTACCTTGATTTAAAAAACAAAATTTCAGGAAAAATCGCCATAAGTGACTTGGACCATCCCCGCAAACTTTACTATCTAGAAGTTAGAGACAGAAAAACTCTAGAAGTTAGAGACAGAAAAACTATCCCATAAAACTCGAGTTTTGCTCCGTACTTTCATAGCTAATCCATAAATTATCCCAGCAAAAAACACAAGATTTGCGAGTCTTAATGATGACGCTCTGATTTGCCCTCTCTCAGGTCCAAAAAATTTTTCTTTCGTTCCCAATGCAAGCGCAAGTAATTCCATCAAGCACTAACGCTGCAAACCCAACACTGAAACAAATTCGAAGCTTAACGAGCAAAAACGCGCTCGCTTCTGCGGAGGTCCGAGAAACGGATTAGAAATAATCTAATAAAACCCTTTCAATAAACTATCGCAAAACAGAGAACCACATAAAAAGGGTTACGTTTTTCAACTAGGCCCTGGATTATCCCCTGATTCTAAAGGATTGACTGAAAAGCTTCATGGGAATAAAAAATAGTTAGTGCAAGCAATTCAGACAAAATAAGGGTAAATTATCGATATGCTATGTATTATAAAAAACACCTAAGCAGGCGTACGCGCATGTTTACTTCGAAATGATTGAGCAAGCAGCTTTGCGAGATTGGGATAGCTTGAAGTTCTTGACAATTTCAAGAATAAGCTCGCAAAGACTTTGAACAGCGCATAAAAAAATTTAATAAGACGCCTCTTCCCAACTTTCTATTAGATGGATACCATTATATGCCATGAAATTGTACTGTGAGTAATTTAGCTTACCTGCACGCTTTCCGTATCACTTCCTCAGCCTCATTCACTCTTTCTTTTACCATAAGCCACCGCGGTGACTCAGGTAGAGAACAGATCAGTAGCACCGCACCAAAATGAAGCCCAGCGGCAATTACCTGTGAAAAAAAGTGTATCCTTCAAGAACAATATTTTCATACCAAACAAAAATCTGAAAGTTACCTGCACACTTTTCCAACTCTTCGCTATATATGCTATGAGGGCAAGAAGAGCATAACCCATAGCCCAAGGCACTTGTAACATGCTACCGACCATAGCTCGATACCGCGTTCCTAAAGTTTATTTGTGGTAAAGATTCCAAAGGAGAGCACTTGAATAGAGTCTTTACTTCAAGAAAATGCACTGCGAACTGCAAGAATTGTTTTGGATCAACACATTCTCAGAAAGCATTTTCGAAAGACATTTTTTGTACATTCAACAGTAGCTTTCTTTGTGGAGACGAAAAATCATGCAAAAATTTGCTTAGCATATTGATGTGAATTCGACCCATTGGGGACCATGAGACATGGCAAAACGATCGTCCGAAATGGCAGAAATCAAGAAAAATGGACTGATCGCGACGAAAGTTATCGAGGGTTTGTTCACAAAAATGTTACTTAGTTTTTTTTCTAGTGTAGAAGTACTATAAAACGGGCATTTACATACTTTTTGTAACCGTATAATGACAAGGTTAGGGTCCGTTAATTTACAAGATTCGAATTAATATTGGCGTATATCTGTAAGTCTCATTCCATTCAGTTTCAAAACGCGACTTCCTTTAAGGCCCCCGACAAACTTCACGCGATGACGTCGCGACTCGCGACTCAATCGCCGACATTCCCATTCATTTTCATTTCACATTCAAAAATTTCGGGCTGGAAAAGTATCACAACCGAATGCAAGTTGATCGGCATGGAATGATGTTGTAACAGTTGTCTCCTCGCGATTCAGTCGCGACGATCAAATCGAGTGAAGTCTGCCCGGGGCCTAATACGGGCGCCTTACATTCCCATAATTGAAAAAAGTTGAACCATGAAAAAATGTATAAAAAATAAATAAATTAACCTGGCGTTACCTGTGATCTCCATGCAAAGGGTATACGCCGCAAGATCGGCAGCCTCATTGCAAATGGCACTGCAGAATCGAATGAACAAGAACATCGGGTAATAGGTAGTATACGGTAGGAATACGCCAAACATTGACGACAAGATCCCAAACCCGATTACGGTAGGTTTACGGCCAAAGCTGAAGCATTCTGTTGAGGTTACTGTAGCAAATACGATATTCTGTGAAGCTTACTTATCGCTAGCCATTCCTCCAACAACGCAACCGACCAGATATCCAAACGAATAGAAAAGATGTGCATGGGCCTTCATGAAGTAATCGTCACAGACCAGATTCCAGTCCGTTACGATCGTCTCTTGCATCACCTTGGAAGCGATCGATAATCGATTGCACTGAAGGAAACAGCAAGTGAGAGACGCATACATCTTTTCTGTAGTGATATTTCTCGCATTTCTTCTTTTCAGCACTGTCCTTCCATGCGCTTTGGATGGCTTCGTTCAGTGGCATCTTTCGCAGTTCTTTGTACCGTTCCACTGGTCTTGCGTAGTAGTGGCACTGTAGAAAAAGTGAATTTTAATGGCGGACAAAGTCCCTCCCTCTCCCTAAAGAGATCCAACATGGTGATAGAACCTACCGAATCCCTCAAATAAGCACCAGATCTTCCATTTTCATTTGGAAACACAAATGAGATATTCTGCACATCTTTGAGGCCCCACTGGTACACGGTAGTGTCGTTCGGGTCGTCAAAGCCAGGGACCTAAACAACGTCATTCAAATATACAGTTTCTTCGACTTTTTGATTTAGGAGCAAAAAAAAGTTCCCCATGAGAAACTAGATATCGTTACCATATCAAACTAAATATCCCTTTTGGTTATGGTGAGAGATGGAAGTAAATGGCAACGATAGCGTGCCCACCGATGTCTACCGTATCCCCACAGTACAACGATACCCCCAAGGGATACTTGGATTTTTTCCAGTTGTGTGAGTAAAGCATAAACATTGAAGCACTAAAATTGCGTCACCCATTATGTTTGAAGAGATGGTACTTTTCCGTCATCCGGACCCATTTTTTCAAAGAAAAACATTGCTTCTATCCTTGCACAATATCTTATCCCAGCCTCACAGGAAACAAAGTCAACCTTCTGCCACGTGTCAAAAAAATTTGACATGTCATCTACATTTGACAGGTTTTACAGGTTTTACCAAGAGTTTGTGTTACCCTACCTAGCGATGTAGCTTCAATCTGTTTTTTTTAGTTAATTTTGACCTCATTTCGATCAAACAGTTTCAAAATGAACATTTTCATAGTAATGACGATATATAATACTATTATCGATAAAGAGTCTAGCTTGCTCGAAATAGAGAAAATAGTTCGGAATTCGACATTGAAGAGGCGAAATAAGCAGCAGCAAAGTACTTTGAGCTATTATTTATAACCTTTTCTTGCTAAATTCGCATAGTCAAAAGAGTTTGAAGAAAAAGACCTTTTTGATCATTGCTGAAAGCAAGCAAGATGTTCTAAAATAAGTTCATGATTGTTTTGCTCTTATGTAAAACAGTCGAACAGCTTCAAAATGATCACAAATTCTCCTTTATCTCACCTGAAATGGTTTCGAAAAAAACTTGTCAAAATGAACCAAAACATGTCAATTTTTTCGTGACACGTGGCAAGGAGGTAGCCATCATAGAATCTATGAAAAATTATCTTTAGACTAGAAAACATATAATATGAAAGGTTTTTGAAAAATTAACGGAAAAGTACCGAAAAGACTTCCAAATTACTTGGAAAATCACTACAAATCTTATTGACGATGAAACCGTGAATCCTAAGGAATTTGCAAAACTCTACGTTTTTTTCTGCTAATCAAGTCTCACCCGACTTCAAAAATGTCAGTGACGCAAATACACTCTGAGACCAAACCATAGAACTAACCTCACAATAGTGTTCCGGCGCGTACATCATGTAGACGACATTCAAATTGAACATCGCATGTGGAATTTGTTGCATAGCTATCAGTACGTAAATCCATATTTGCCACCATGAACAACCGCCAATAATGTTCAGAATCCCTTAAACGTTATTATGAGAGTGAAGAGAGTACTCAAAGCCTTGTACAGGCAGCGAAATTCTGCAAACAATGCAGAGTCGATCTTCAAATGAAGAATTTTATTAGGATGTTCATGAATGAAAGAAATTTCCACTTTCGTACTTTTTTCAGGGAGGCTTGGGCTCCACAGAGTTTGATGGAGCAAAGCAAGTTTTACAAGGTAAGCACCAAGCAATCACATGAATTTTGATCGACGGTAAATGTGGTCAAAAAATCAAAAAATCAAAAAATTAAAGGAAAAGCTGTGATCAAAACTTGAGATGTGAGAGCTTTAGGCGAAACTGTACACTGTAAACTTTGAGTGGAACAGGGAGCCCGCAAGATGAAAGGGGTTCCATAAAGCATTATAATCTCCCAATAAAAAATTTGCCAAATGCTTTTTCAAGTTCCTAGTAAGCTTACCACTCTAATCGCAATCATTGGTTCGCAACTGAGAGCCACCTTGCACAGTTCTGTGACTTATAAAGACCATCAAAAAGCGAACACTACTCGGGATTCGAAGGAGGGGTAACATTTTCCCGTAAAACTTTCATCCCTAGCAACCTGAAGTTCTTACTGAACTGCCAATCTCGTTAATATAAGGAGTAAGAACAACGAACATTACTGTTTATTTTTCAACATCTTGTGAAAGAAACCAACTTATGCAATAATTTGACCTAAAACAAGCAATAATTCCCTGATCTGACAAGGAAACGGTGTCGAGTCGAAGTGGCCTTTCCAGATGAGACCCATACAGCTTGAAAGAGTATTAAACGGTGATTCCAAATCTGCCTTCCAAATCTGCCAAGCGCCTCTGGACCCCGAGTTATGACCGTTCTTCGGAACGAAAAATAAATGCAGAATTTAGGTAAAATTGATTGTTACAATCTTTCCAGCGCTCAGATAAAGCAATATTAAGTATTATCATATTGAATAAAATGTATCCATTGCATAAACAGCTCTGATACTTGACACTGGACCATTTGAGCAAATTTGGGCGATTTTGCTTCGGTTTTGCCTTCAATTTTTTGACCTGAAAAACGAGCATAACTCGGTGCCCAGAGGTGCTTGGTAGATTTGGAAAGCAGATTTGGAATCAACGATTAATGCTCTTCAGAGCACTATGGGACTCATCTGGAAAGGCCACTTCGACTCGACACGGTTCCCTTGTGAGTTCTCTTTATGTGGAATTTGAAACGCAATTAATTTCAAATAAATGGATATATACAGACAGCAAATACCTGTTCCAAAAACGCTGAATGAAACCTCGCAAAAATTTTCATTACTCTTCCAAAAGTCCCTTTTTTCGTACAATGGCTCAAATGTACAGAAAAGCTTTCCTAATCATCTTGTATCAAGGCAGCAATCCCTCCTTCGCTTGGCGCCATCAATGCCCCACATCAATCACATTGTTTGTCTGCCACAGCGTTTGCGGGCCGCTGTAGTCTGCGACCATTCAGTGGGAAAATTCAACCAAAAATCTTTCGCAGAGCATTTTTGGAATTTTCTAGGCATAGAAGAAGAGAGAAATGATGTAGCGCTTATAAAAATTGTAGTGCATGTAAAAGGTAGTCAAATCAATGGGTTATTGTGAATTTGAATTTTTCGGAGGGATTTACTTTTTGCGTTTCTGTATTCTCTACGTATACAAAGGACGCATAAAAAGTATGTGAAAACGAATAAATCGAAGTAGGAGAAAAAGTCAGAAATAGATAAATGATAAATTAAGGATAAAAAAATTCAACGTAAATCATGGTAAAATACATGTCAAAATATAACAAGATCATTGGAATAAATGGTCAATCACAAAACTTTCTGGCCTTTTGATATGCAAAATCATTAAAAAAATTGATTTGAGGCGAATTAATGAATATCATAAACACAAATAGTATTGCCTTTTCTTTTCATGAAGATGTTGCCTACTGTTGAAATATTGTGATGGTGATTTGCATGACATTCTTGCATTTCGGTTACTCAACGTCAGGTGACAATTGCCCCTTCTTCGACGGTTGTGGATCAGATAAGAATAAGTATGACCGCTATTTTGTCACCTTCGGACCATCAAATGCAAAATTCCAGGAAAATGAGAGGTAATTTTCAGTAGTCCTAACATCGAAAAACCTTACAAACCTTCGAAATCCACCGGGTCAGTGAATCGTCGTTCCCTCTTGGTGTCTTCCCTATACTTCTGTTGCATTCGTTGGTGTTGTTCGCGAATCTCTCGTGTTGAAAATGATGGTTTGCTTTGTCGCCTGAATTATTCACACTTCATCGAGCAAGGAACAGTCAAGCATGTGATGTTTATCAGAAGAGCCACGAAATTTTATAGATTATAAACACTCTGTCATTGTTTGCTTCTTTGAAAAAATCAGTGGAATTTAGAGAAAACAGGTCTTCCCCAAGAGAATCATTTTTATTATATATTTTCTACTGTTTTCGTTGCCACTTTTCTGCATACGTCAAATACGAACAGCATGGCATTCAGCTCTTAGAATCTTTTAAATGGTGAGGTTATCTTCTGAAAGCGTTGCGCACTTTTCATGACTTTTTCAAAAAATATTTTCTGCCTCATGCGTGAGGGCCTCTTAGAATTGAAAAATTGAGATGTGTGTCCATTCGGATCATTATGGTTTACAAAAAAATTACTAATTCCTGAAAACAAAAAGGAAAGAGGAGTAACAAAAAACACAAATGCTAGTAGAAAGATAAAATTAATTTCATTACAAAATAGCTACTCTGGGCATACCGCAAAAGAAGAATGGAGATATTAGAAAAAATCAATTTTTTTTCAAAAAAGTGTTTATTGAGACAGAGAAGTTGATTAATTAGCATTTGCGTTTGGTTGCTGCTCACCCATGCGTTTATACTTCGTTAACTCAGAAAAATAATGACTTTCTTGAAAAAGAGTGTTGCTGGTCCCTCTCCCAGTTCTCCCTTCTCATTCCCCCGCAAACCTCATGATTCAAGACAGCTAAAGTACAGCAACAGACTTTAAGCGCAATTTTCCGCCATGCACTATCGCCGCCTTCATCGATGACTAGAGATGCCGATTTCAAGTAAACAACTGTTACGCGTCGATTTCTCCAAATGCTAGATGAAGCACGGAAATTTCGGTGATTTCGGCACCAGCAGCTTCCCATATAACTGAACTTTTCCCTAATTTTGGCTCCAAAGAGCGCTTCACACCGCGACACATTTATTTAATGATAAACATCCGATAGCTAGAACAAACAAAAATATATGAAGCCTCGGTCTCTGGTCACGATCTCATCCTCATGCATATGATATCACTTCATTTTCCCACTAATAACCATTTGGATGAGCACTTCAGCTGTGAATTCCTAATGAAGTTTGATGCGCAGAAAAATGTGATGTGGAGAAGACCAAACACCTATTTGACCATTGTTTTTGATTATATCATGGAAGTGTGAGGTTTCGTTGCGACAGCCAATAAATCATCATAAATAATGAATTGCCCAAAAAAGGAATCCTAGGGTTTCCCTGAGAAGTGGAAATTTGCTGGAAAGAATGTCACATCCTGGAACAATCACTCAGCGCCAGCACAATGCGAAAACTACTAAGATAATGGCGAACCGAAGAAAGAATGGCAAAGTTAAAAGTTTTTTACATAAGTTGTTGAAAGGGTGGATTTCTTGTTTCAATCTTGAGAGACCAAAAATTACGAATTGGCTTTGTAAACTCCCAAAATTTTTTTGGGAGTCCGTGGCTAAAAGACCCTTAAAAATTTTTTGTCAAGGCCCGCCTCCGAGGACTTTTTTGATACTTTGCCGTTAGTAATCACTCTCGGAAACGCAACTTTCATATGGTATGATGCAACCAACCAAGAAATTCGGATCCCGAAAGGTAGAAAAGTCGACCGATATTTTAAACATATGGTCTCCCCCCCCCCCATCCCCCCATCACCCCCCCCCTCCATCCCCGCCACCTCCCCCTCGCCTTCCCGTCCCTAATCCTAGATTAAAAGAAATTTGAACATGGAACTACAGAATTTTATTATCCCAGATTCAGTTTAAATTGCAAAAAAGTACGAATTTTAAATTTTTCCTCGGCTTTTTGCGAGTATATACTCGTTATAAATAAATAGTTCATTTTTGGAAACTCACCCCCCAGCAATGCTTGTGGCAAATGACACATCCGACATATACATCGATGACTTTGGTGTAGCTTGTTCGCCAGGTTGTGCTTCTTCCTCATTGACAGCGTTGCTTGAAGCTATACCACTGTCGCTTTTACGATTCAGGCACATCTAGAATGACAAAAACCAATAATCGCCCAGCATGAAATGGCTATAAAAATGAAAAATAGAATAAAAGCATATGAATTATAGTTCACAACACTGTCTTTATCGTAAATTATTTTTATAGAGAATGAGAAGATTCAAAGTTCACCTGTGGCAATGCCGTATCGCTGATAGCAAAGATCGGCGCCAAAGAGACTGGCGTTTGGTAACATTGTGCGGTAAGTGCGGGTTCGCTGAAATCATTCCAAGGGTAACCAAGGCGAAAGGAATTTAAAAAAGGTCTACAAGTTGAGAAGCTGTCTTATACATCCCTGTGAAAATCACTTCTTAAACATTAGCAACTTTTCCCACAGACTTTCGCTCCTGGCACCCCTTCTCACCTACAGAATTCGAGTATAGCCTAGATACAATTTTTAGCATGTTTTGGTTGAATTGAATCACTTCTTGCTTTCAGATTCCTTGACTCTAATCTAAGCTTTTACATAGGTGTTAGAACAAAATAATACTCAAAAATGAAATAAAATGCATAAGATGGTCATATTTTTCCATAATGTCTTCAACAAGGCAGCTATGAACATTTGTCGTGATCGTAATAGACTGCGAACATGCATGCACTTTTGACAGCTTCGCTGTTCTGACATTTTTTATGGATGTAAATTCTAAGTATTTGTAAAGATATTTACATAGCTCTAAAACTGAATTACCTACACCGAATAAGCATTAGCCCTTCTTGTCAACAGACAGCTAAATTGTTCTTGAAAACGCCAATCTCACATCTGAGAGCAACAGCCAACATATTACTAGGTTGTCAAGAAAATAATGTCGTTTTTCATTTGCTTGCTTTAATAAAGCAACCAGACTCAACACAACAAAGGATAAGGGTACTATTCGGTAGAGCAAGGCAAGCTCTACAAGATAGCTCTCATGATTTTGCGCCAAGCTCGACCCACGGAAAGTTCTAACTCAAAATCTGAAGATATTCAAGTGCCCAAAAAATCGAAAAAAATCAGATCTTCGTCCGTATAATTTCTACGGACCTCCCACTCGCACACGTCAATACTTTCGATATCTGATATCCACATGTGCAATTGCTGCACGTTTTCCTTGACTAGAAACTGAGAAAACGAAATTTTTCGTGTTTTTCTAAAGGCAATGCTGAGCCGTTTTTGCATATGTGATTCTATACTACAAGCCTAAGTAAGTATAACTATAGATTTTCAGCTGATTCCGAGAGGTAGTTTTCGAGAAATGTCGCTTTTAGCACTGAAACTGAAAAGAAGAAAGCTGATTTCGACATTTCTCGAAAACTACTGCTCGGAATGGGCTGAAAATCTACAGTTATACTTACCTAGGCTTGTAGTATAGAATTACGTATGCAAGAACGGCTCAGCATTGCTTTTAGAAAAACACGAAAAATTTTGTTTTCTCCGTTTTTAGTCAAGGAAAAAATACAGCAACTGCGCATATGGGTATCACATATGCGAAGTATTGAAGTGTGCGAATTGGAGGTCTGTAGAAATTATACGGACGAAGACTGATTTCTTTCAATTTTTTGGGCGTTTGGATATCTTCAGATTTTGAGTTCGAACTTTCCATGGGTCGAGCTTGGCGCAAAATTATGAAAGCTATCTTGTAGAGCTTGCCTTGCTCTACCGAATAGTACCCCTTATCCTTTGTTGGGTTGAGTCTGGTTGCTTTGTCAAAGCAAGCAAAGAAAAAACGACATTATTTTCTTGACAACCTAATAGAAAAGCAAAAAATGCATGTACATAATTATGGTAACTGGCTCAAAATCCGGATAAAAATCATCAGTACTCAAGTCGTGAAACTGCACATCTCGTGCTGCACCTCACGGCTTTACGGATGGAAAAATAAAAAGATGAAAGCCTAATTGAGCTCAAGAAGAAGAGGAAGATGAAACAAGGAGAACTTCATAAAATTGGCATGTAAGTCGTAGAATAGCGCGCATGTTCTGCACTCTACCTACACATTCCCCCCATGCTTGATGATTTCACATTTCCAATAAGGTAACGACAATTAGGCGACAATCGCTGGTAATTTTGTAAGGTTTCCAAATGTATGGATAGAAATAGATCCTCTCACCTGTAAATGAGAGGGCAGTTCAACAGATGATTTGGTGATGGAGTTCGTGCTGTCTCTGGTGCATCAGGAGTTTGTAAGTTATTATCATTAGGTTCATCCTGCATATCTGGTGCGCTCTGTAAATGTCACCATAAGCAAAAAAAATCGTTGCTGAGGAGAAGGCTAAAGATGGAAGAAAATGGTACCTGGGTAAATGAGAAGTTTTGCCTTGAATCTGATAGTGAACTTGGAGTTAGTAGACACCTTTTCTCAGAATCATCCATGATGACGGCTGTTGCCATCCTGTAATAAAGAAATTCTTTGAAGAATATGCATGTGCTGCTACAATTTCATAGTGACAGGAATTCTGCTGGATTTTTCATTTGCTAAGTCTAGAACCTTCAAGTTATCTGATAGTCCTGTCTGATGCCATTATAAGAAAAACTTGTTAATGTGCATTAACTCTGTAGGAAAAATAAGAAAGCAGTGAACGTTTCAGACTGCAAGTTGTCATTGCTAATCAGGACGAAGGTGCTATGAATCCTAATGAGTGTTCATTAATTCACCCCAAGTTTTTTCTTCATCCCAAGTTTTTTCTTTTTGCATTTATGTCACGCATAAAATGAGAAGCTTCGCCATCGAAATTCATATGTGAAGAATGAGCGAAAATGATACTTTGCCATGATAAGCTAAGCTCAGGTCAGGTAAAACGGAAGCAGATAGCTTTAGAAGCTCTTTGTTTCAGAATTCTGAATCCAGGTTTTATCTAGCACTACACGTCACCTTTTCTAGCAGCCAATTTATACATAAGACAACCAAGAACGCTCATTCATTCTTTTTTATTCCTCTAAATCAAAATTTTAAATAATTATTTATGTTGTTGTTAATATTTTATTTGAACTGAGTATATTCCCTACAAACGCTAACAAAGGACAACTCTAGAAGCAGCGCGGTCCAAGCATGTGGCAGATGTCAGTGAAGAACGTTTTTCATGAAAAAAAATTTCGTACGATCCCATGACATGGGAATAAAAACCCGGTCTTGGAAGTGAGGCCGGCCACAATCGAACAAAGTACCACAGCACTACTAGATTATTTTGGATCTCCTAATAGTCTATAAAGTTCATGAGCGGGGTAGGGGAACGAAGGCCGTCAGTTTGAGCCCCCTTTTGTGGCTAACTGGTCCTTTTGCAGTGTTGTTGCATGTCGTGCAGGACCAGCAGTCCGCGAAGGCGGTGCAAACTGGCGACTTTCGTTCCCCGACTCCTACGAGTGCCTTTGACACTGAGTAAACGTAAAATTATACAGTTTCAAAATACGATTTATTTCTCGAATTTGCTACCTCATGCCGCAGGCGGCCCAGCAGTTCTGTCCTTGAAAAAACGAGCAAACTCTGAGGGTGAATAAAGTGACTGAGTAAGAGTGTATCTTTTATATCAAAAGAAAAGTTAACACACTAACAACCAGTACTTTTTTCATCTAATTCATAATTACTTTAAGTGTGAATTTTTCGCTCTATTCATTAGAATACAGATAGAAATTCAAAGAAAAAAGCAGAATCATGCATGTGTCCATAATAAGGTAAAAATAAGCTGCCAACTGAACTTTTTGAGTTATTTAGGGAAATAAAGAAAAAACACACAGACGATGAGCCAGGTGCAAATCTCCCACATTAAGTTCTACTTTTGAGAATTTCCAAAAATTTCAAAAATAAACAAAAACATTTACGAGAATTAATCCATTATTCTTTTCAAAAATAGCTGAAAGGCACGATAATATTGAAAACTTACAGACAATTCAGTAGCGACTGACAAAGCTGTTGTGTTGTGCGTTATCAGCTCCAACTTGGTTAGATAAGTTACATGAGATAGGGAAATGGAGTCTTGGTTGCGTCAGCAATGTGCTCACAAACGATGACACGAAAGCCTGAGAAAATTTAGCGATGAGAAACGAAGAAAAATATTGGAAGAATTTCGAACGTGGTAGTGAATGTGCAATTCACAAGCAAAGTAATTCAAGCAGAAATGAGAAGTTTGAGCAGATCTGGTTGAGAAGAAAATGAAAACGAATGTAACTGAAAGGTGTTCTATGGAAAATCTCTGGAGTGTTGACCACAGCAAGTGGGAAAAAGTCCTGATTTGTTCGTCATTGAATTTGAAATGTGTGAAATATAGCAATGCATCATGTGGAAAAAGCCATTTTTGGGACATCCACTGATTGACCGAAATGGTTGGAAAAGCCTTTTCTTTTGTTCGAAAAAAGAAATGTTACAGCGCATGTTAAAAAAACATGAAAATTGGAAACCTCAGAGAAGTTGCACACAATCTTTATGAAGCTTAATCCTATTTTGCTGAAAGAAGAACCTTTGAGGTAATTGCGTCAGTTGAATAAAAGTTGAATAGGAGGTATTCAAACCTCATTAAGTGTTATCTTCTCGATAGCCGCCTTTTAAGCGGAAAAGATCGCAAAATCAAATATCATATTGTCGGAGTGCAAAAAAAGAAAATTAATAATGGCATAGAAAAAACACATCCGATGTTTACATCGACTTTCAAACCGCATGGGTTTCAAGCACCGTTTTTTCGTCTTTTTTCTTTACCTTAATTTTATGAGCAGGTAAAGTAAAAATAGCATATGTTCAACTGGAAATTGCAATTGTTAAATCCGAAAATTAGGCTTCTCTTTCTTGCACTATTCGTGGTTTTCTTTCTCAAAAAATTTACTTACAATAAAACCTTGCAATTCCTACAACAAGCAATATCTCTAAGCCGTTTTAAATGAAAATTGAATTTCATGATTTCGAAAGCGAAGAAAAGAAGAACTCTTCAGAGCAGCTGCTTACTAAGTGACAGTTTGTGAGTGACTCTTTACCAAGCAGAAGCTATCGAGCCATCTGCTAGGTTCAATAGTACTGAACTAGAATATCTGACGAGTAGATATACCAAAAAATCAAATCAGTAACAGGAAAACTCAGCAATCGATGCGATACAGCATTACAACAACATCGAAAAGTCTTAGCGACTGCATAAACAACAATGATTCGAGAATAAACCATAAACAATGAATAGCTATCGATCGGAGAATGGAAAAGAACTCGACAAGGTGAATAAGCCATTGAGAAAGGAGAAATGGGAGAAATAATGGGAAACAGGTCACGCGGCTTTGAAATCACACGCTCGATGTGATGATGAGAAGGCGCTACCAAGTGGCTATCACAGACAAGCGATATATACGCCGCAATGTTATTTGGTTTAGCATTCAGCTTGGAAGGTGATAGCTGGAACTGATTACAGCCAATTGACAACAAATATAGTATTCTTTCGATACTAACGATATTTTCGCTTGTGTTGTCGGCACCGCGAAAGCACAATCTTCGGAAATCCATCGGACTATGAAAAGTCGGATGATAAACGATATGAGAGTGGAAGTGGTGTTGACAATAACGTTTGTACGTGAAAAATATCCACAGAGCGCATATTTCTGAATTTTACTGTCCACAAGTATTTTTCCGCGCATTTGTTGTCATCACCGCAAGTGCACCACATTGACTGTCATCCTACCAGGCCAAATACAGGTTAGTACATGTTCTTGCCGATGATAATTGCATGTAAAAAATAGCCAGAGAGCAACACATCTGCAAATTCTATGCTTCATGGCTAATTACGCACGATTATTGTCGTCACCGTAAGGGCACTATACTAGCCGTCAGATCTACCAGACCACAGGTTTGGTATGTATTCTTGCGCTGCCGAGAACATTTGCGGTAGAAGAAATAGCTTTAGAGCGCATACTTTCAGATTCTGCGCTCCACGGCCATTTGTTGTCATAACCGCAACCGCACAATATTAACAGCCTTATCTAACAAACTACCACAATCGAATGATAAACAGGTCCAACAGCCAAAAATGACTGATCAAGCCACAAATGCTGTTGACATACACACCGGATGCTAAGCGTCTCCACTGCCGATGATACCGTTCGTGATTCCGCCCGCTGTCAATCACCGTGTTAAATTTAGACGCACGACCTTCTTTCTTTTTTCTGCTAGCAACTTCAACAAAAACTAGTTTGATTGTGCCTAATCAGGTGATCCTAGTCATTTTTAGCAACTTTATAGCTTTGGGCGCAGGATAAACAAGGGGAGGGGGGGGGGGAAGAAGAACAGGTGAGTAGTTAAGAAAGGATGAGGATCAAGGGTCCTATAATTGTTAGGAACAGTACTATTATAATTTACCAATCTGAAGCAGTGGTCGTGTCCCCCCCCCCCCCCTAAATCCACCCCCACCTGCCTACTCAGAATGAACTCACATACGTGACGATTACCATTTTTGGCAGTAGTAAATTAATCCCACGTGTTTGGGTTCATTCATAGCAGGCAATGTGTCCTTTGTCAAATCTATTTGTGATGTGTTTGTGCACACATGAGTGAAATTTGGCGGTTAGTGTAGTGTTTCTACGACGTCGACAACGATTGCGCGTGAAAATTGGCCTAGCCTTGAAGTCCAAAAATGAAGAATACGTGCTCTACGCTACTTTTCTTTGTGATGAGTAGTTTTGGATATTGGAATGTGCTTAGGTAACGAGTGCGTATGTTAGGCTAAGTCTTTTAGAGTTTCTACTATTCAGCTTCTAATTTTGAAAAATCTAAATAAATATTTTAATTCAGAACACCTTTGAAAAACATGTGATAAACACTCAAATACCCGAAAAACCCGTCACTATCTCACCCCCATTTACTCCCTTTGAAGTTCCATTCTCATTCAGTTACGCTAATCCACCACTCTGTGCAAGTTTTTACTGACGTGCGTGGGAACCGGCCCGTCAATTGCAGCGCCATGAGAGACGAGCTTACTGGAGTTAGTAGTAAAAGTTCCTGGTTGTGAGATGCAAAGATTTTGTTCACACACTCGAGTGGTTAAACAGGGCCAAACCTCTTTGTCACGCAAAAACGAGTCTACGATAAGGTTACGGTAGGTGTACGGTAGGGTTACTATATGGTCAGACACAGTGAATCTGTGTGAAACTTCGAAGAAGCTGATTTAAGCTGTGTTCAAGTATCCCCCACACATTCGGTGAAAATTATCAGAGATTTATCTACCGTATACCTACCTAATCTATACCCTGATTTTAGAAAAACTATGGAAGGTTCGTAAACAGTCTGCCATCTTCCCCTTATGGGTAACACACTAATTTGCTAAATAAGATAAATACATATTACGAGGTGAAGCCAAAAAAGGCATTACAAGAAAAAAGACATTGTAGACCTAATTTCATTTCATGGAAAATAGCGACCATAGAATTAGG